ATTGCCTCCGGGGTATCTATTCTGCTATAACCTGTTCAGCTTTCTGCGCCTCCGTATTCTCCCTGTCTTCGATAGACATATTTGATAATTTTCCAATGCTATCGTCAAGCTCGGAGTCGTAGTCTACTACCGTTGCATTCTCTTTCTCAGCTTTACGCCGCGCTTCAGCTTCAATCGCTGATTTCTCGAATCGTTCAAGCTCCGCCAATTTTCGTTGCGTTGCTTCCGCTTCCTCAGCATCGCGTGCTTCTCGTTCCTGTTTCTCCATAGAGGCAAGCTCATCGTCCAGCTCGTCTTCATCAACTGCTTCTCCAGCCTCATTGATGATATTCCCAACTTCATCGACCTTACTCATCTCCTCTCGCAGCTCTTCCAGAACGTCTTCGACTCTCTCCACCCCACCGACTTGGGCATGTAAGGATCGAAGGGCGCCGGCGCTGGCTTCCATGACTCGTACGATATCTATCTGGTCTGCTGCCTGCTCCAGTTTCATGTAGACTTCTTCGAGTTGGAGTAAAGTATCTGTCCGTTGCTTGAGATTGTTTTCTGCCATCTTTTTGGACCTCAGTGCAGACAGAGCGACCACTCGGTTCTTGTTTGTCACTGCATCCTTCGCTCTCAATGACGATTCCTTGATTTTCGACTCGAGAAGTGCGACTTGTCCGATCAAATTTGATATTAACGTTTTCAAAGACGCGATCGTCCGATCTTCGTGTGTTATTGAGTTAACGTTGTTTTTGGCGCTTTTAAATTTAACCGTCTAAATACTCCTCAGTTACGTATTTATCGAAATACAATAGATGTGCATACCTCTCCATCATAAAGAATCGCGTTTTCATCCCTAGATAAGAATGTCAGGAGGACATCGACATCCAAGTTTGATAACACGGCTCCTCCACCTATATTTGCAAATCGCTTCGTGAAAAGTTCTTTTGAGTATATAAGGTCGGTATTTGACCTATGGGAGCTTGAGGCTGTTGCAACGATGCGTTTCCCAACTTCCTAGACACATAAATATCAAGAGATTCAGTTAGAGGAGTTTGACTCGGGAGTGGAGCTTGACTAAGAACATATTTCAATGTGAAAAGCTGAGGAGAGTCATTTCTAGTCATATATACCTTTAAATTATCCACCAAAACCAAATTCATAACTTGTAAATTTCCTGATCCACCTGAATGACCTTCGGAATCGGATAGGAAGGCCCTTAACTGCTTCATACTCCAACCCATAACTTGTGATATTGTTGGAGGGGAGGGGAGACGTATCCACGATGTTTTGAATGGACTAGTGGAGCTAGTTTGAAAGGCATCTAGGGGTATCATGGAATTACATCGGATCGCTTCATCCTGCGAATCGAGGTCGAGAACCAATTAGTGAGGCAACCGTAACGCACCCCATAGCAGAGAAAATCAAGCCCCAACAGTGGATGGAAATACATATTATGATAACGTACAATGGTAGTCTGTAATGCTACCGGGCGGCCCCATTCTTGCGTCTCCAGCTCTGCCATAAGCGCGTTGCCCGTCCTCAGCACGAGCAAATCACCTCTGGCTGCTGTTCCTTCCTCTCCATGGTGTCTGCTTCCTGGCGAAGAAGAATCTATGACGCCCGCAAGAGCAGCATGAGCTAGCGCTCGCTGCCATGCAGCGACGTTTGTCGCATATCCGTCTGGATTGGTATTCCGTTGGGTGGAGAAGTCTGAGTAGAGAGAAGGAAGTCGAGCTCTGTATTTTGGATTATTAGTTTCCAGATCATTTTGGCTTCTAAGACGGGAGTATGGAAGATAAAACAAAACCGCAAGCCTGACCTTCGGAAAGACTCTTCATGTGCAAGGATGTATGCTAGAAGTTCACTCATAGCTGTTTGATTGGGGTTTGTTGTTGGTGCCAGGAGGGAACGGCTAGTAAACCTTTCACTACCTGTTTACACCTTGTTATTTCGGCGCATAACCCTGTTTCCCGTTCATTTCAAAAGAGATCTTATGGAGTCCAGAATCCATCCGTTCTAAAGTAGGATTGCTAGGATTGCTTCTCCTGGAGACGCGGAGCTGTCCACGGGTGTTATCGATAGGACGAGCAAATATGATCACGTGATTCGGATGCCGTTAGGCAACTGAAATAGAGCTGCAACCAAGTGATGAATGAATTATCTAGTTTATTCAAGAAAATGAGTACCGATATTATGATACTTGGCTTGTTTCAATACCCCACGTCAAGCTCTAGTAGAACTGTGGATATCACCCTAGGAACAACAGTCAAAATGCCTAGTCGAAAAACCAAAGTTGGCGCCTCTACGCTGCGTACCTAGGTATATGTAGGCTTCTCTACTGGGGCAAAAGAGCTCTGTCACCACCAGCGCACTGCTGGTAGAAGGGCCGATCAACCCGGGACCCCCAACAGTATAGACATCATAAGCATGTGACATTACTCGATAATCCGTCCATTTATTTTTCTTAGACCAAATCATCCTGAACTATTCGAAATCATCATTTGGGTGACCTTCATCATCTGATTTAACCGGGACACGGTTACAGGCGTAGATTCTAGTGGGTTCACACCTCCTCTTAACGATTTTCGGTGAACGCGATCATCCAGCTTCTCTCTCGTCTCTTCCGCGTCAAACTCTATCGGACTAGATATTTCGGCATCGTTGCCGAAACCGCGGGTGCCAAAATATTCCATCTGTATGGCATTCCGTAGATTGTCGATAAACTGTTGCATTTCTGGTAGAGGCCCCTTTCCTTCATCTAATACATCGCTATATAGGCGATCTGATTCTTCGAGGCAAATAGAGGCAAGATTTGGCTTTCCTTGTTTTAGCCAGGAGTCAGCAGCGAGAAGGGCCCACATAGCGGCTTTCCTTCGTCTCATTCCCCATTTTGCACCGCCCGATCCGGTTTTAGAGGCATAGCATGCAGACACTCGCTCGGAGACAAGAATTCGCCCGTTGTCGCCCACAAGACCCATATTGAGGATTCGTATTGCCCATTTTGCTGCAGCATCAGAGGCAGGGCCTCCACGAGATTTCAAGAGTTCCACACCTAAGACAAGGGTTCGTAAAGCATTTTGAGCATCGGAACACCTTGTAAGATATGAATAGCTGGCGGTATCTAAGAGGTGGTCGATGGATTCAAGTTTTGTTCTAGCAGTCGATGCCATGGGGTTTAGCAGAGTGCTGACGGCGCACATTTCATGCGCCCCCGCCTGGTATCTCCATGCTTTATCATGCCCATAGTCTCCTTTCACAAGCTCATAGGTTGACGACGCAAGTTTCCAGTCACGGAGCATGAATGCAAAGTCTGCCAACTTCCGTAATATTGCCTCGGGTGCATCGGGTTTGTAGAATCCCTGAGAATCATAATTGGTCCCTGATCCAGAGCCATACGCACCACCGGACGACCTTGTATTTGCTCCAAACCCGGCCCAACGCCTTGACATTGACATAAATCGACCACTCAAGCCTCGCCTCCGAGATGCAACTTGCTCATTCCAAAGAGCAACTCGATTTTCCATATGAGGGATCACCGACTGAGCGACCATTTCCCGAATGAATGCTTTGATAGCGGTGACGTCAGATTCAAAAATATATGAACCTTCGGACTCAACATCAATAAGAGTTTCTAAACGGATATTAGCAGGTATATTCCAGTTTTAGGAGTAGGGAAAGGTACATACCTTGTTCGCCCAACTCGGAAAGATCTTCCGACGGAGTTAGCCATTCACAGGAGGGAAATTGGGTGCTGTCATCGTCCGTTATGACGCATTGGTTGCTCCGCAGCCGTAAAAGATGGCAGTGGAGGCCAAAGTGCCTCTTCATTTGATCAAACAAAGCTGTTGACTTAGTGATGTCATCCTTGTCTTCGTCATGGACGAGAACGTAGTATCGAAGATATTCGGGATACACCCATTGAGGAGGTCGCTTATCGCCCTGAATTGTATGTGCATACAGTTGACGTAGCGATTCAAGAGGCGTAGGGGTATGTGAACTTATTGCAATAATGCAGGCAACGGGGTGCATGAAGGTTTCGTGAGGCGAGGTATACGCCGGGGAGAGTAGACGTCGAAGGAATAGTTTATAAACTGGAGAAGCTAGGGGTAAACGGCCATGTCCGCCATCGCCACCCCGAGTCCAACTTGCTAATGGGTCGTCAATTGAATGGATATGCCTGTCAAGTACTTGCTCTATCTGAACGAGAGAGGGAACGGGTTCCGTTTTGCTGGTCTCCGTGTCCTGTTTTTTCGTATCCAAATCAATAAAACGAACCCCGAAATCCTCCCAGGTCCGACTAGAGCCGCTGTTATCACGTATAACTATCTTTCCCGCGATCGTTTCCCCAAATGGCCTTATTAGTTCATGGAATCCATTTTTGAAGCCCTTTCGCTGCACTAGAGCATCCGTGTCTGGCGAGGCATATACGCCTATTACCGGGGAGAATGCTCGGATTATTAGAGAACGGATGTCGTCGGTAGTATCAATTTGGAACCCCAGCGGTGAAAGAGTACTTGAGCGAGATAGATGTGAGGCGGAGGCGGAGGCAGAATACGATAGCCTCCCATTGGGAGATGCTGTTCTCGATGATCGGCCGGAGGATAGGGACGAGCGTCGTTCCAGAGGAGAATCAGTCAAGACGGATTCAGATAACGAAGAGATCAGCGGCTGGGTGGTCTGAATCTTCTCCGGATATCTAGCTTTAGATACGTTGAGCGCGGCTCCGGGAGAAAAGGACGGCGGAGGCTTGACTGGCGCAACATCGTCCGGTGATGTCATTGGACACTTCGAGGACTCTATAGAATAGTAGTTTGGCTGGTAGCTGTGAGCATCTGTAGTAGTGCGAATAAAGAGAACCCGTCAGATGGTATATATAGGAGCAGTGTGTGCTGTTGGGGGAGGGGTTGTCGTTGCTGCTGTCGTTTGGTTAAATAGAGCTAGAGGCGCGGAAGCCAGAAAAGAAAAAGATCACTCCTCGTAAATATTTATTTAAATATTTAGCTCAAATAAATATTTAACGTGGCTTTCCTTTCCACAACGAAACCAACAACCAAAATTTTTGGAAGTAATCCACAACAAACGCGTTAAATATACCATCTCCCAAATACTTTTAACTACTCGCCATTATGACAGACCCCTATGCGCTCGTTAATCGGTCCGTTCCCAGATGACTGCTCGTTTAGCACAAGCAATCCTTCCTTGCGCCCAGCCCACTCGCCGGACGCTATTGACTCATTCCGCAACCAGACACATCATCGGGCGTTATAATCAACCTTCCATAAGCTGGACAGGAACCAAATCTGTGGGCTTCTTCCAAAAATTACGCTGTCTAACACAACCACTCCGGAATCCTATGTCATTTCGAGAGAAATCAAGCCTCTCTCCTGAAGAACGACCTAGCAAGCGGAGACGAATTTTAGGGGCCTTTGTAAAGGAGGACACCCAGAGAGCCATGACCAAAGACTCGACTACCTCGTCGACCGTTCCCCGAATAACACTTACGCCCATCGAACAGACTTTGCGATTATGTCTCCTTGATGCGGTGGAGTTTATTCAGCAACGAGACAAGGAAGATACCCAAGCGTTGCCAACAGACGTCGAGCCACTGGTTTTACGGTTCGCTGGAGGATGGGTGCGCGACAAGCTTCTCGGTGTTGATAGTCATGACATTGATGTAGCAATAAACTGCATTACGGGGGAAAGATTCGGGGAGGGGTTGAAAGAGTATCTGGACACCCCGGGAAACCTCGAAAAATACAAGGCGTTTCACTCTGACCCGTCTATTATTGATTGCATCAAAATCCATAAGATTGAGAAGAATCCCGAAAAATCGAAGCACCTTGAAACTGCCACTACGAAAATATTCGGCCTGGAAGTTGATCTGGTAAATCTGCGGAAAGAGACATATACTGATGATAGCCGCAATCCACAGATCGAAATAGGCACCCCAGAGGAGGATGCACTTCGTCGGGATGCTACTGTGAATGCATTATTTTACAACATACATACAGACATGATTGAAGATTTCACAGGAAAGGGGTTACAAGATTTGGAAAATAAAATTATACGTACACCGATGGCTCCCTTCCAAACTTTTAAAGATGATCCACTCCGAGTTCTACGGTTGATACGCTTCGCAAGCAGACTGGGTTACAGTATCGACAGCGACACAGAAGAGGCTATGAAAATTGAGGATATAAAAGCGGCTCTAAAAGCAAAAATTACGCAAGAAAGAATTGGTGTTGAGATGGAGAAAACTCTACGAGGTATGGTTTCCCAGGACCTAATCCCATGTTATTTACATGCGGCTAATTGAACACCTTTTTAGGACCCGACCCCTTAACCGCTTTGCAGCGGATCAACCGACTTGGTCTATATGATACTATTTTTGCTAATCATCGGGATAATGCCGGAGTTGATACATCATCCTGGGAACGAGGCTATAATGCCCTTACGCTTTTGTTAAGCGAATCGACTGGAAATATTGATGAATCGCAGAAAACGCGAGAATATGTCCGAGATACGCTTATCCGCGATGAGAATGAGAGATATTTTGCTTGGTTTCTCACTGCGCTTGCCCCGTGGGTCACTATTGCGGACCCAGTACCACCAAAACCCTCAAAGCCTACAGTACCACGCGCTACAACTGTCGCTAGAGATAGCCTTCGTGCAGACAACAAGGCTGCCAGTATTATCTCTGCAGCCTCCAAGAATTATCAGACGATCTGGGATATCAAATCATCTTTTCTTAAGAATGAGATCGCCGATACGCCTTCTGAGACCCGCGTGAAAATTGGACTCTTCATCCGCACCCTGTCTCATGACTGGCGATTATGTTTTGTTCTTGCTATGCTCCTTGAAGTTATGCGGGGACAAGAAGCTGATCATGGTAAGTCTTTTCGCAAGATTGTCGTCATTTTACAAGGCTATAGCTAATGGTACGTTTTTTTCGATAGTATTTCACAATTATGAAAAGTTGCTTTCATACATTGAAAATACTAATCTTCTCGACGTGTGCTCATTACGACCACCTATCAACGGACGCGACATCATCAACGCTCTCGGCGTGAAGACGGGACCTTGGATGTCCAAGGCCGTGGATATGGTTATCGAATGGCAGCTTCGCAACCCCGACGAAGCAAGTAAGGAGGCCGCAATTAATGAGGTTCTTAGAAGGAAAGATGAGTTAGGACTAAATAGCAAAACAATGGGGAAATAGAAGTAGACAATCTGAAAGCAGGTTGATAATGAATATGCGGGGTATAGTAACTACAGTACAATCCATTTATTTATCATATTGTAGGGCGGTTGTTGGATACCTAGAGTCGAGTTAGGGTTTTTGATGACAAAGCTAGCTTCCACACACCTAACTACACCAATGAGGTGTATACAGAAAACTTGACCTCGCTAATCTTGGAGGATAATGTTGTTGTGTTGTGTTGTAATCTAACTACGCGAGTTACACTAAATGGATAGGTGTAGGCTACTGGGGCAAAAGAGCTCGATCACCACCAGCGCCTGCTGGTAGAAGGGCCGACCAACCGCGGGACCCCCAACACCCCCCCTCGGACCAGCTACCACAGAGTACAGTACTTCCTCTCAGTGGCTCCCTTCAGTGGCCTCCCCACAATGGCTCCTTTTTAATAATGGACTGGACCACTCAGTCCTAGGGCTCACAGGACTTCTAGGGCACACTCCTGGGATGTCTCTTGGCACTGTTAAAATGTCCAGGGTATTTGTTAGGAATTTTTAAGTCTATTCTGGGATCAAATCCATGCATGTTGACCACAGCGGGGCTCACGCTTAACAGTCTCATAACCTGTAGGCTACTGAGGCAAAAGAGCTCGATCACCACCAGCGCCTGCTGGTAGAAGGGCCGACCAACCGCGGGACCCCCAACAATAGGTTGGGGTGGCACGTGACTAGGGTAGGTGTAGTAATCACCAACACCCCCTCTTGCTACACTGTGGCCTATAATAAGCCACCACCCGGGGCCTCTCTCATTCTCAAATCTTTCAAAAATGCAATAATAATTAATTACATGAATCAGACCCTGATTTCCTCATTAGGAAAGGCGTCTGTACAGCAATAACTGTAAAAATCAAGAAATACATGTAAAATTCATTGATCTGCTGTATCATCATTATCATTCAATCATTTCTTCTTCTCAATTTCCTGAATGTCAATTCTCTTGACAAATTCTTCAAATGCAGGCTTTGCCAGTGACTTAGTGAGCTCATCAGCTATGTTCACTGTAGAATTAACATACTTCATCATAATTTTCTCTTTTTTAATTAAATCACAGAGAATATAATATCTAATCTTAATATAATATGATCTTCATATTAAGAATTCTCTCTTTGCTAGATCAATTGCTCTCTTATTATCAACTCATAGATATGAGTATATTTTCACTTTTTCATCATTCATTAACTCAGTATTATATAACATATCATTCAATTAGATTATCTTATAAGCTGTCTCACTAGCTGCAATATATTCAGCTTCTGTAATTAATTTAATAATAGATATCTGTCTCTGTGATCATCATGAGATCAGTGACTCATTAATTAATATAACATAGTCAGTAGTTGATTTGTATTAAGAATTCACCTCTGCTCAGTCTGAATTACAGTATGTCACAGCCTCAGTGGCTGAATGGTTAATGCGGCCACCCGGTAGCGCCTTGGCGTGGGAAACCAAGGCGTGTGGGTTCGAAACCCGCAGGGGATACATTAAATCCGGAACTCAAGCACCTCAGGTTTCTAATAAATACAGAGGTGTACAAATCGCTTCAATAAATCGCTCTATGTTCCTGGGCTGGGAAGTTATTATCGCATGTATCTAATTGTCACTTCTTTGTATTTCCTATGTTCTTGTTATCTTGGCGTGGTCTCAACTAGACTGGCCGGCGGGACCATGAATTTCACATTTGGTCTCATTTGGTCTGATCTCATACATTTCTTGGCATGAGTCTCACCAGGACCAAGCCTTAAAAAAATCTGAAAATGAACCATTTCTGAGAGAAATGATGTGAAAAATAACTAGATTTAATTTAAAAATAGTGAAATGAGAGTAATTTCTCAGAATAAACTGTGAAAGATAATCATTCTTTCAAAATCAGAATAAGACTGAGACTGAAGATTAAAATCAATCTCATTCAGTTTATTCAGTGATTGCTTATATAATCAGAATTTGATAATAATTATTAATAATACTTATAAAATAACTAAATACATTCTTATACAAGTTTATTCTTTACTTTCTTATGAAAACTACACTTCTCTGATATACTGTAATCAGAGATATTAAACTGTCTGATAATTTCATATTTTATAATTATAAGTTTCTTAATTATTTCTTCTTATAATTATTCTTAGTAATAGTGATAAATATCTCAACTTGAGTTAAACTTTCACTTCATTTTCATCTCTGTTAATAAAATTATTAGAATATTATATATTATCAGTGCAACAGTTGAATATATACTCTTAACAATTTTTTATAACTCTAGAATTGATTTAATATATAAATTTATCAGATTATCTTGAAGATAGCAGTCAAATTCAGTTTTATAAGTATATAGTTTTATCTGATTTTCAGTTGTAATCAATGTATACAAGTTCTGTTTCAAAGTTAGTATTATAGTTCTATAAGATATAAAGTATTATCAAAGATTATTACTTACTAGAGAATTATATTTCACTGTTTTTATATCTTAAACATCTGCTTATTCAAATCACTGATAGTTAGTATTATAGTAGTCTCAGACTAATTTAATATATAAGTCTCATTTCTTCTCTATTTAATCTTGAGAAGTATAGATATTAACTTAATAGAAGAGATTTAGTAGAGCTGCTATAGTATAGTACTCTGTAAAAGATTGTTCAGTTTTACTGTAGTAATATACTAGTTTATCTCTTACAGTAATAATAGCCTGCACTATAGCATTATTTCAGACTGAATTTCTTTTTAAGTGATTCAACTGCTTCTTAAGATAAGTAAATAAACTATTATATACTCATCAGACTGACTGCAGTATTAATATATAAGTGATTAAAACTGTCTTTATTATTTTATAAAACTGAAACAGTAAATCAATTATATATTTTAACTAAGTTTACTTCATATCAGAAAGTTTCAATATCTGAATCTTTTCTTAATCAGAGTGTTGCACTCAATAATTAATTATCTAACATAATTAAAGAGTCTGAATAGTTATCTTATATATTAAACTTCATTATATTCTAATATTCTGTATCATATTCAGTGATGTGACTGATTTATTTATTTATTAAATATCATGAAATTATTATTATTGTTTAGAAGAGATATAAATCATATTAATAATATTTCAAATCTGTAATATTTAAATTATTAGTCAATCTATTCAAAATTAACAGTAGTATTATTCAAAAGTATTATCAAAAAGCAATATTAAAAAGTGTTATTAAAAAACATTATCTTTTATAAAGTGAATATAAAAGTTACTTAAATAATTACTTTTATCTCATTCTCATCTCAAGAATCAGTCATCTTATTATTTTTCATCTCAATATTAAGATTCTTTATCAGTGTTTATATTATAAGTTGAATCACATGAGTAATGTAGAGAATATAATCTTATTTATTATTTCAGAAATACAAAGTTAATTTTTACTTCAAGCTCTTCATCATAGTATAGTTATTCACAGTATTATCAGTTATAATTATAAGAAAACTGAGACTAATATCTTAATAGTTGTTTTTAATCACAGTTATTAATATCTCTATTATATAATTCTCAGTATAACTACTGATTAATAATTTAAATTCAATTAATGTCTCTTGATAAGTTCAGTTCTCATTAATATAATAATATATAACTCTTATAAATGTAAGATTGTTTATACTAGTTCATGCATTCACTGTAAGAGATACTCTTCAATGATTCTTCAACTCTGATTCTAGATATTATATATTGACTTTGTAGTATATCTTGAGATTGAACTGAAAACAGAATTAATATAAAATATAAAGATTTGAATTAAGCATTTGAAGAAGTGTTCAGAATTCAGAGTTTTCAATTGATTAAAGAGAAAGATTCAGAGATATATATATACAAAGTAATTATTCACAGAAGTTATTAGATAAGAGTTATGAAATCAGAGTACTGATATATAGTTATTTTCATATGATTTTCTTCAAATTAGAAAGTTAGTATTATTAAAAATCATTATCTAATAGAGTAACTTATCAGCTCAGTAGTAATTTTCTGATTATTTTTCTTTTATTATCTGTATTCTAATGACTTCAGATGTTGAAAAATTTCTTCAGAGCTATGATCAGTTTATAATGAATATTTCTGAATAGAGTTATAGTAATTATAGTAGAGAGATAACTCTTCAGTAATCTGTAATACAATCTATTAATAATTATTTCATAGTTTATCTTAATATTTATGTTGAGTTTTTCATAAATTTTGTGATCTGAAATCAGATGTGAAGAATGAAGTAATTATTCATCATAATTAAAAGAGAGTATTCTGTGTTAAATTATAAACAATGTAGACTTTGTAATTCACAGTAATTTCTTAAAGAGTTTATAAATCTTCAATAGAAGTAAAAGAAGTGAAAGAAGTGAATTCAGAAGATATGATAATAATTTAAGAAAGATAATAATTTATTTTCAAT